TTTAAATTTTTAATAAAGGTATGTGTGTATCTATGAGGTGCCTCCCAAAAGGTTGTGGAAAATTTGGAAGGAAAAGAGATGTGACACCTTGTCAGAAGCACTGCTGGCCTCAAAGTGGAGCCACAAGCCCTTGTTTTTGGAGGGGCAGCCCCTTTCTTTCTCTGCAGCTCTGCCCTGTTTACTAACACCTTTAGAGGCAGAGGACCCAAGGCCTGAGTGGCCTGGTGCTGCCCAAGCTCTAGAGCAGGAAGAGGCACCATCTGCAGCCTTTCCCATGGAGCCCGCCATGCTGTTCCTCACCAAGGAGACCGGACTGAAGTGCAGCAGGATACATGGGAAAACTTACATGTATACCGCTGTGAAAACATCGTAGCTCAGACACATTTTGATCACCTACGTGCAATAAACAAAACACGCCGTAGAGAAGACACTGAATACACTTCTTGTCAAACAGCAAGTAGAAAAAGAGCTGGAAAACTGCTAAGGCTGCTGACAAGAAAACCCCAAAGGACTGGATACCCTGCTTGAATCTATTCGGCGAGAAAAACCACGGAACTTCCTGATCCAGAAGATTACAGATGAAGTGCTGAAACTTAGGAATCTCAAATTAGAACACTCTGAAAGGACGGAAGTGTAGCAGCTGTGAGCCTTTTCCAGATGGAGCTACAAACTACCTCTCTGGACCAAATTCAGGTGAGAGGACTTTCTCAGCAAAACTGTGGGCGCCCACTGACCTATATCATCCAGAAGGGGAATCCAGCACAGCCCCCTTTTCCTACTGATTCATCTCTGAATTTGCCTCTTCTAGAAGAAGGCAGAAGTGACAATACTATCTTTTCTTCAGTGTCTCTGCCCAGGCCTGGGCACCCTGGGGCTTCTCCTTTGACACCCGAAGTGCCATTAGAAGGAGAAACTTGTGGAAACTGGAGTGCGCTGTTCCTTCCCTTAAGATCACGTGCTGTGTCAGGGCATTGACCATTTCCTACCTTTCAGTTCCAAAGATGTTCTAAAGATTCGAATCCTTTTTATAAAATCAATGGAAGGATTTCATTTATTAACAACCGACACTTATAGTTTAAAATAGATACAAAGGAGCTTCAGGCACTATGCTTTAAAAGAATGTGAGCGTGAGATGTAAACAGAATTTTATAAAGGACATGCAGATTTAGGCCAGCTAAATGTACATCATATCCATCCTGTACTTCTCAGTCCTTTCGAGTCGGGGTGTCTTTCAATGTTGTAACTATGTTTTTAAACTTCTTTGTATTTTAAGACTAATTTTAGTCGGGAACATTCCTCTAGTTGATTCAGATATGTGCGACGTTTGCATGGTCTAATCGTCCTCTCTACCCATTCATTGGCTAATTATCGGAAATCAGCTGCTATTGCTGCTCAGTAATACAGCCGAGCAATGACGAGAAAGCTAACAGTAAGCTGAAGACAACAGCTCCACACTCTGGCTTCCCCAGAGGCCCCTCTGATGTGGGCGGAATACCTGATGCAGTATGATGGTGCACCTAAAGTTCTCATCGTTAACATTATCACAATGCACCTGGATCATTCCTTCCCACTCATTGGAGTCTTTCCACACTCCTATAGAAAAACCTCTTGG